CGACTACGACTACGACTACGACTACGACTACTACTACCACTACTGCTACTGCTACTGCTACTACTGCTACTGCTACTGCTACTACTACTACTACTACTACCACCACTACTACCACTACTACTACTACTACTACTACTACTACTACTACTACTACTACTACTACTACTACTACTACTACCCTAAACCCAAGTCCAAACTCACAACAGTGCAAGCCCAGAATCCCTAAACCCGGACCGATGCCTTGCCGGCCTTGAGCGAGCGTGAGAGTCGAAACCCGGACCCTAAACCCAAACCCAAACATGGACGTTGCTAGCAGTGCGTCCAATGGTGCGGACATGGATGCTCTCGCACTGGTGAAACGGACGTTATCATGGTGCGGACATGGATGCTCTGACCTTTCGCACGCACGGGCAGCACACAAAGTTCGCCTTTCTGAAACGTAAGTACCCCACCCCCCCAACCCACCCCGCAAATGATAGGATGCGTCGTGCAGTAAATTTGCTCTGCTATACTCCCTGTTACTGCTACTGCTACTGCGATCACGACCACGGCCATGGCCACGACCACGACCACGACCGCGACACTACTCAATCGCAAGCATTGTCCACACGGACGTAACCATGGTTGGGCCACGGATGCCCCGTGCAACGGATGCGCTGGCGGCACTTCGACCACGAAAAGCGGCTCAACCACGAACAGCCTACCGCCTAAACTTCTATGTTTCTATCTACTACTTCTACTTCGAGCGCATTTCGGTGAATGCAGGTGCAAACCATCCCTAGCAAGACGGGTCGCTAGTTGTTTATTGGCGATGTTGATGCTGGGTTGGGCACCTTCCAGTCAAGCACTCGCGTTTGCCCATGCCAGTCCAGCGACACAGAGGGCCGCTTTGTGATTGATGACTGGGACCGCGTGCGGAAGGCACGACTGGTTAGGCTCCTGAGACATTCTGCAGGAAGAGGCGGCCACATTGGATTCGGCGTAGCTCGCAGATGTAGACCACGGATCAAAACCGAACTTCAGCACAAGGTCGCCCGCCACGAGCGACAGGCACCAGCGACGCGCACAGGTCCGCCTTCTTCGAGGCGGGTAGAATTCCCAGGTCCACCCTGCATCGGCGGGCATTGGGCTCTGGCCCATTTCGCCCAGCAGCGGTTTCTGCTCCCACATTGCTTTTAGGTATCGGGGCGCCTTATAAGAACGGTACCCAAACGGTGTTTATTGGAAGAGGGTTGGTTGCAGGCACTACAGAATACCAAAGCCAAAATCAAAGCCCTCAGCCCCCAAGCCCGATGCCCGGCAGTGCGTAATTATGCGTGACTCGCTGGGAGCATTCAGTGGGAAGGCCAACGCAGGCCGCCACGTGGAGCTCGCAAAAGCAGCGTGCGCCTTTCAACGCCGCGGCCTCATGCATTGCTGAATTCCCAGATTTGTTTGTTTCGTGGACCAAAAGATCGGGCTGGCGTTCGTCACGCTGTTGACAAGCAGGAGCGCAGTACAGTGCGGATCATGTGCAAGCACATGTATATGGAAGTGCCATTCGAGGTTGCTCAGGGCTTGGGTTGTGCTGAATTCTATGGCGAATGCAGGCCTTCGCCAAAGCGGAGCCAAAGGAGGAGGATGCCCAACCGCAGGCGAGCTGCCAGAGAGGGAGAGAGAGAGAGGCGACAGTCTCAAACACAAACGGAAATGCGAAGATGCGAAGCAGAGAGGAGGGCAGAGAGGAGGGCCAGTGTCCGAGATAAGGGCCTCAGGGGCAGCAGTGTTGGGGCATATGGGGGGGGGGGGGAGATTCAGAAGCGCCACACACCACTGCAGTTCTTCGGACAGCAACAGAGCGGTCCCGAATACCGGGGCGGGCGCCGAAGCCTGGGGGCTTGCCCCCATGCCCCCCAGAAAGAAAGAAAGAATCGCTGTCCTTCGGCCCCCGTGGGAGCACACACTAACACACACACACTCGAGGTAAAATCTGTGGAGCCTATATGGGGACATTGGTGGTTAGATCTTTTCGGGGAAGCCGCTCCACACCTCGAGTTGTCCACAAACAAACAGATCGCGAAGGAAGGAAGCAAGAGGGAGGGAGTGCCTGGATGAGCATAATTGCGGTCCCACTGACACCAGGACAGGCATGAGGAAGGACACATAAGAAGACCACCTCATGGAAGACCTATATGGGTGGAGGGCATTGGGCGCTGTAAATGTACATGCCGGTCATGCGACGCCGACAGCGCCTTCTAAGACCGACCATAAACAGGCTGAGCCTATAAGGGTGGAAGAAAACTCAATCCGAGCCAACGAAATAAGGAGAGCAACAAACAAGAGTAAGAAGCAGAAGAAGAGATCAATTGCATTGCAGTCTCGGCTCCAGCGCCTCAAGCAAAGCCTCGTTCCCCCTGGCCTCCATCCTTCGCCTTGGGTCGTGCCCAGTCGCTGTTGGGCCCCTCAACTACGCAAAAACCCCTCGGCCCAGAACGCCACAAAAAGCTCTAAGGGAGTAGTGCTCTTGAATCAGAAAATGGGTAGCGTTCAAAATTCGCGTGTCTGCTCAGTGACTTTAATTTACCTTAATGGGTTTGGTCGGTCTTTTTGCATGTCTTTGCCATGAGGCGTCACCGAGGGAGTTCTGCTAAAACCCCATTGTGGCGCTAGGAAAACGCTAGGTTCGCGGTAGGTAAAATCAACAAACTATATATTTCGCATGTCACCACTAAGCGAACCCAACAGAGATTGATTGAGAAGGCCCAGGCGCACCACCGGAAATATGCGTACAACTCTTGGGGTTGTGTAAAAGTAAAGCCCCGCGCCTCTTCGTTATGAATTGGCGGGGCCCCTGTTGCCAGGATAGAGGTTGTTCTAGGAAAAAAGATGACAAGAAAGAAACGATAATGTTGTTCTATTTGGTACATTTGCTGCTACTGGCTTGTTAAGGCTTGTTGGTGTCGTCCATCACGTAGTATTCAGAGATCTTGGAAAATCCGGCACAGTGTTTTGCGCTAGCGCCGCGCTAGCACGGCGCTAGCAAAATGTCAACGCAACCTCCCCCGGCAGACCATGGCCCATTCCTCCTCGAGCAGACCGCACCGAGTAACACCATAGAACCGAGAGCGCCATGCTTGCTGGAGCTCGGGCCCCACTCCAGCAGTAGCAGTAACGCTAGCAGTTCTTGTGACGACTCGTCCGACAGCAGCACCTGAAAAATAGTCCGCGCTAGCACCCTTTCCAGGAAATCGTGCTTGGATCCTTCAATTGTCGCGTTTGCTACTCCATCCCAATCAGCTTCTTTTTCCTTCGGGACATAAGGCGTCGCCGAGGGAGTTCCGCATTGAGGTCAATTTCGGGAACAAGTATTTTGACAACAACCCAAATACATCCTGACTAAATATAGAGCGAACATATCGTGCTATGTCGCTTAAGCGGATTTCCTTCAGAGTTCCAAGATCAGTAAAAAGCGCTGCCGAGTACCCCTTGGGGTATTGTGTGAGGACTCCGTGGGCCGAACACATGACAAAGTATTTCAGTACCTTGTTTTTGCTCGGAAGGCTTGGACGACGTGGCCGAAGGAGGAGGCCGGGCATGACGAAGGTTCATCCGCCTTGGTGTGGCCCGTGTGAAGATTGTATGTTGCCGCGCCTCTCTCTCGCGCTCTCTCTGGCTCTCTCTCTCTCTCTCTCTCCCTGTCTCTCCCTCTCCCTCTCTGTGCGCGTGCATGCCGGTGGATGCGTAAGCTGCCTTGAGAGATGGGCGCTTGACTGTACGGTTCGCCTGTACCCAATCAGCTTTTGTGCAGATGCTTTACGAATCGCAGCGTCGCTTGTGACTTGCTATCTTGGCAGGGGCAGAAGCTGTTTGCACCACTCGCGGTGTGAGGTTGACTACGGCGCTGATGACGAGGAGGACGACGGACGTTGGGATGGGGCGTAGAGCCCAGAAAGGTCAAGCAAAGACGTCGGGCGCTGTTTCTTTGTCCATGCACCTTTACCATGTCACTTTTGCACTTGGACTGGGCTCCTACAGGGGAAAAGGCCCAGGACCTCAGGTTCTGGCACCAACAAGTTGCATGACTTGGAGAACCATACCATCCATCCACCAACTAGCTCAAACGCTGCGGGAGACCCTGAACTGTCCGTATGCCTGTACCTCTTTGTCCTAACGCGGGCAACACAAGTAAGACCTGTTATGCAATGCGCAAACCCTTGCTGCACGGCCGTCGGTGGCATTTCATGCTTGTGAAGGCCTTGTCCTGCCTTGTCGGTGGGAGTGTGGGGAGGAGAGGGGGCCCGGGGCGTGATACAAGCCCGGAGTATCTGGCCTCTGTCAAATCTGAAAACCAATGTTTACTTCCGTGGAGCACATGCGAGATGTATTCATGGCACGGTGCAAGCGCAGCTGCCTTCCCAACCTTGGCAAAACTGCCTACTGCGTCGTGCGAGCAGTGCGGCGGCTAGACAACCACCGTAATCAACAATCAACTCTTATCCCCAGACATGAGGCTCGCATAGAAACGGTGGAACGGCTCCCCGGCGCACAGGATGCGGGCCAGAACCCAGGAAAAAGGAGACAGCCCAAGTTGCCGCCAGCGCCTCAGAGACCCCGAGCTTGAGGTCCCAGGACCCTGATTACTACATCCCCCTTCTTGGGAACCTTTTTTTTTGTTTTTATAAAACCCAAGAGGATACTAAAAAAATGCTTTTATTAAGGTTCTAGGGGGAGTATAGGATTGGCGACATTGGGGTTCAAGGATGTGAGGGCCAATACCTTGTGTCGACCGACTTCCTGCGTTTTCTGAGGCCCGGCAAGGGCTGGGAGATGTATGACGACAACGGTGTTTCCTGGTGGCAAGCTCCGGCCTGTTTTCATGTTAGCATTGGCTGCATGCAACTCGGATGAGTGATGAAGCGCTGCTGAAATTTTCAAAGCCATGGCCTGAAACGTACCCTTTTCTTGCTCTCGCTACTTGCTTGCCTTGGCTATTCGGGGGGCGTGCTGTGCAGGCCACTGCGAGTAAGGGTGTGTTGGGAGTGTCGCAGTTGGAGGTTCTGAGATGTGTGTGACCATGTTGGTCAAGGCTTGCTTTGGCCCTGCAGGTACTACGAAGGTCCAAAGGGCAAGTGGTGGTTGCAGGAAGGCGAGTCAGTGCAGCAGCCCAATGGGACCGGGAGTCAAAAAGAGGGCTGATCTCAGTCGCCGTGCAGAGCATAGCCCTAAACTCTAAACATATTTTAAGGACCTTCCGAAGATGGTGAAAGGAAAGCTGAGGTCGCCCTGAGGCCCCCTCAGCACAAGCTAAGGCCGCAGCCCTGGGAAGAGGGTGAGAACGGCACCGAAGATTCCTGAGGATGGGCCCTTTCCTTCGCAAACGTGCGGTTCTCTGTAGCCCTCAGCCTCATGCTGCCTCAAGCCGACAGCCGAAAGCTCCAAAATGTCCCTATGCAGCGATTGATTTAGTATAGCCTATGTTAGTAGATCTAACTAGATAGCTGCTGCATGCTGCTGCTGATCATTTTGCACTTGTCAGGGTTCAGGGGTTGTCCATTCCTGTGTCGGCAGCATACGGGAAGCTCGGCCAGTTAGGCCAGGTTTTGCTTGTCCCTATGGATTAGGCTCCCCAAAAAAGCCACGACGTGCAGGACCAATCGCTGCTCGTGGATCCAGGCCGTTTTTGCACGGGGATTCGGTTTTAACTGGGGCCTGCTGTGCACGCCTTCGTTGTGTTGGCATGTATAGACGGAGGGTGCATAGGCTACAGAACCATCACCTGTTGCTTTTAATGGAGCTGGCGTAGAACCAATCTCCTACAGTGGGGCTTCCCATGTTCAGGGTTAGCAGCGGGCACAGAGCTGGGATTGAAATAAGAAGCCAGTGTCGGTATCCTTTACATGTTGCTTACTCATGCCAGCAGCTACCGGATATACGGAGGCAAGGGTTGATGGCGCCCTCATGTTCCGGCTCAGCCCTTGCATTTTAGGGGCCATAGCTTTCAGCGGCCATGTCGCAAGCGGCAGCAGGCTTCAGGGCACAGGACCTCAAGAGACATTTTGGGCTCTGTTGCGTACATGGCATCGCATGTAAGAGCACCGATGCTGCTCCCTGCCGTGGGTTTTGCGGCTTGTGTGAGGATGAGTTTTTTGAGCTGCATCGACGGCTTGGAGAGCAATGGCCTCATACAACTAACTATCTGCAAGTCTTGTGAGAATGCTGCGGGCGCATGCCCTTCATAAGGTGCTATGCGGCTGAGATCTCGAAATGGAAGAGGGCCGCGGGGGTGCTTCAGCCCCAAAACCGTGAGAAGAAAGATGATCTCATGGAATCCTCCCCGTGCTTTTCCGTGATGTGGGCGTTTGAGCCGGACATTTTTCTCTCTCTCGAGATCAGCCTACAAAAAGCCCACGATCACCCTTTGTCGCTATCTTGGGGTTGTTCACTCTAAGGTGCCATCTCCGGTGCCATCTCCGGATGCATGGGGCGCGTCATCAGTTTCGCACAGCTTCGTGACTGCAAATATGTACGACATGGTGGCACTGTATGGCACTTGAAAAAACTTGCATTGCTCACCATATGCTCCATTAATCTTTGTCCTGCTGCCGTTCGTTCAGTGTTTTGCTGAGGCATTGGTGCGCTAGCATGCAGAGGCCGAATCGGAGCCGTGGGGTGGCTCTGGTTCTGAATAGGTGACTGTGGATGGCACGTTCGGGTTCATCAATCCCCTTGCAAGGTCATGAGGTATTGGCTTCAAGTGCTCCTCACCTTGTGTGGCTAAACTAATACTGACAGAGTCTATCTGGGTTGGACTGCCCCACCCCCTGCTGCTCATGTTTTTAATTTCAAGGGCAAGCTTGCGAGGAAGGCTGTGCCGTGTGATCCCCATGGGCATTGAGGGCGAGACAGGGGGTTCAATCGCCATTCTTTCCACCCAACCCTAAACCCGACACCCTAAACCCTGAACAAGCATGGACCCCGTGATATATCCGTATGTGCTGTCCTAAAGGGATGCAAGAGCGGTTCGAGACAAGCCTTCTTGTGACGTTCCGGCTTTCGGGTCCTCTGGCCACGAGTGAATCCTGGGGCGTTATGCATCTTATGGCTCGCTGCCTGGCTTAGCCTTCGAACAGCATGACGCGCGAAAAGAGCGGGTTCGGAGCACTCGGTGTAAACATGTGCACCAACTCCAGCCTTGCAAGTGCCCTCCCGGGTTCGTGTACCGGGGAGGACGGTGCAAGGCTTGAAAACCTTCAGAACATCGTGCTTATCATGTTGAATCCCTGCTGCGTGGTTCATCCAGCTATGCGGGTTTCAGCGAAAGCCTAAACCCTGTCTGCAGGTCGCAAAGTCAACAGCCAGACGTCCCTCTCGCTGTGCCCGGCCCTGCCTGAACTCACGTGCCCCAGCTGAAAACAACATAATAATGTGATTGAAAACCCTAAACCATAAACCCTACAACCTACACCCTAAGCCCTAAACCTTAATGTAATAGTTTATTTGGAGTTTTGCAATGTTTGCAAACCAAAATAAAATCTAGCGGCCCAGAGCCTGGGCATTCAAATGACTCTGTCATGCTGGTCGACGCACCAAGGCCCGGCCTGCAAATCTAGAGAAAGGGTTTAGGCAAAAGGGTTTAGGGTTTAGGGTTTAGGGTTTAGGGTTTAGGGTTTAGGGTTCAGGGTTTAGGGTTTAGGGTTTAGAGTTTTGAAGCTTTCAACCCTATAAAGCCTCTTTTTTGAAGCTTCAAAACCCTAATAACGCTAAACCCAAAACCCTGAACCCTAGACTTTGTCTACAAGGATTTTTCGTGGGCGCAGTCGGCCGTCTAGGAGTTTGTCGGTCTTGGGTCTTCACGTTTTTGTTGGGGGCGGGTGTGCACACTCACGCCCGGTGCCGCTGTGAATTTAGACTCAAGCCCCGTTGGTGGATGCTTTAGAGTTGTTACAAATGCAACTCCTTCTAGAGGTGAGGTGAGGTGAGGGTCGACCGAGGCACGAGCCTGGCCTAACAAAAAGGCGGCCCCTCCGGCACAAGGCTTAAGAGGCCAGCCCCAACAACGCACGACACGACAACCACAGAACAAAAAGCAACAGCAACGCGAAACGAACGAGACAACGCAACGCTCTGCGGACCTCCATGGTTACCAACGCTCGCACCGCTCGCACCGCTACCGCGTAGCTTACCACCGCGAGCACCGCTCGCACTTCTACCACGCCGCCCACGATCGTCACGTTGCCACCGGGTGTGCCTGCCATCGGAACTGCTACCCCCACGACTCCGGCACCGCCAGTGTCTGCGGCCAGAGCGAGAGCGTCGGCGCCCGGGGTAGACCCTACCCGGCCCAACCCCCGCCTTGCTCACGTCTCCCATCCCATCCCAAACTGCTGCCATCCGTCTGTGCAAGTGCCGGGTCCGCATCGCCCTGCTGCCAAACTAGGCTCCGAGCTCCGAACCAGAATTGAATTTGAAAAGGGGCCCATAGGGGCCCCACGGCCTCTTATTTCCAACCATCGCAGAATAAGTGAATCCCCTCCAGAAATAGACCTCCAGATGCTCAAAGACTGCAACGACCCCCAACCCATGATTGAGTTGTACCCAAAGTCCAAGGAATGTACACATAACATCATACACCCAGGCACTGCCGCTCTAGCGCCACAGAGGGGGAAGAAGGGAGTGCTCGTCGAACCCTCAACCTGAGGATCTAAGTCTAAGTGCCGTCCCGGAGGTCCACCCAACTTCCAACCCCAGCCCCTCCGCAAGCCAGCGCTAGTCTGCGGGGAAAGCAACTCCTTCTAGAAAGATGAAGCAAAAGAAGCCCTCATTCAGAACATCCTCAAGCATGGCCCCATACTTCCAGGTATGCAGAATGCCCACGCGGAGAACCGGAATCCATCGACAACGATGCCTCTTGGTCTCTAAGCTTGGAGTCACAGATTGAAGGCGGATTTGTTGCTCAGATGCTGCTGACGTGGAATTCGAGCTGAGAGTTTGGGACTGCTGCTGTGCAAGAAAGTAAGGACACATCCGAGTATGGTGGCGAAAAGCAGACGCAGACCTTTGGCACTGCATCTCTCCCCGTGGCGAGGTGCGAGAAGTCGGCTTCAAGCCTATATGACATCCGACTCAAAAAATCGTGCATTGGATAAAGGTTCGTTGTGATGTAGAGGCTAGTGGCGAAACTGCATTCTACCAAGCCGCCATATTTTTCTGGTTGTTAAGTGCTGACTTCTCCAATCTTCTCCACATGTACTATGCTCGTGCTCTATGTGCTCTTGTGTGTGAAGTTTCGTGCCGCGCAGTTGAAGCAACACTTGCAGGGTGCATCAGCCCCACGCCCACTGGAGCAAGAGTTCGCTGCTTGGCAGAGACGCTGCTAAAATCTGCCAAATGCACTGAAGTGAAGGTGTTGAGCATACGTGATTGTCCATGCGTGGTGGGTGCATGAGGGCCGGGGTTCAATGTTTCAGATATGCACGGCGCCAACCCTTACCCTTGTCGCTCACGAGTTGCCCTGCAATGCCAAGTGTAAGCGCGTGGCCAAGGCAGCGCCGAATCTCCAGGCGGACCAGTGTCACCACGGCCGCGGCAACCAGGGACAAGGAGAGATGCGCCTGAAACAAAAAGCCCGCAGATAGTATGGCCATTGCATATTGGTCGTGTTTGCATAGGCATGGAGTTGGAGCGCGGCGCGTTCTTACCCGTGTACTCCTCGGCACTTTTCGGCTGGAAACCTATTTTTTTCGGGAGGTTTTTCATTTTCCGAGACCTTAGTCACCTGAAGTTTTTGAGGCCCTTTCCAAAGCGCGTTTTTTGCGGGTTTTCGCTTTTGGACATTTTTGCGCTGTTTGCCGCGCGTTTCTTCGGGTTTTTGCTGGGTTTTGCTTTTTGCAGTGTTTTTACTTGTAATTTGTATTTCTCGTGGTTCTCTGTCGTTTTTCTTTAAGCCTTTTCCGCAACGTGTTTTTCCGGGTTTTGGCTTTCAGCCACTTTTTTTGTATTGAATGTGCGTTTCTTTCGGGTTTTTGCTACTCTTCCTTGCTCTTCTACCTTTTGTTCTGTCTTCACGACTTCACTTGTCTGCCAACGTTCCTGCCGTGTCCAAGGCCCAAACCCAGAACATGAAACCCTAAACCCTTCAGTGTAAGCCCTACACCATGTCTCCTCGTGGAGCATCCATGCCCGCACCATCCGTCCGTGCTCGTCTTGCGTGCGAGTGGCAAGAGCATCCATGCCCGCACCATCCGCCCGTGCTCGTCTTGCGTGCGAGTGGCCAGTGGCCAGAGCATCCATGCTCGCACCATGATTCCGTCCGTGCTCGTCTTGCATGCGTGTGGCTGCTTTGTGATTTTCAGTCTTGGTGCTAGTAGCTGCAAGCCCCAGCTACTTGCTTCTTTTGTTCTAAAGACAACCTGAACCGTACTGCTTCAGAAAGAAAAAAGCGACGCTTTCAGGCTTAGGGCTGGCGACTTCCAACTTTGGGGGTTGCCGTTGAACATGGAAGGCTTTCAAGTGGTGAATCCTAGACTACTTCATTTTCGTGATCTCCACTTTCTAGAGACTTTGTTGCGGCGTTTTTCTGAAATATCCCCACTTCGGCCTGCAACCAAAGCAACATGCTTGTCCCATAGTTGCTTTTCGCTCCGCCCCCGGCAAGCCGCAAGCCGCCATGCTGAAGTCTGCATCTGAGCGTCCGAGCTCGACTTCATTGCTGCGCAGCCAGGACCACACCCTCACCGACCTGAGCCGCTCGGGTCGGAGCGGAAGCCGCCATTCGACGCCGTGTCTTGGCTGAATGACACGTGTGGAAGCATGATCGCCCTGATAACACATCAGAAGTGGGACTTGAACTTAGCTAAGCCAGTCAGTGCATTCAACTACTTCGGCAAATGTGGCCGGGTTAGACTAAAAGAAGCCGCTCGGGTTTGGGCTGTTCTTTTCGTGACCAAGTTACCCTAAACCCTAAAATCCTAAACCCATCTAAACCCTAAGTTGCTTGAAGCCCTGTTGGAGGTTCCGGCGCTGTGCAGCTTGCTTCTCTGCGCTTCCCTTGAGACCAGGAGCCCAGATGCTCTGTAAGTTTTGGGGATGGGGATGTGCCAGATGGGCCTTTTGAGGTGAGGTAGGGCAGGTAGCGAGAATCAACTGTCAGGAGGGCGAATCCGATACTTGTGGGCCACCTGTCATGACAAGACAAAATATGTCCGAGTCCAGCTTCTTGCGAGCAAGGACGCAAGTCATACCAAGGACCTGTGCTCCATCGTTTTCGTGCTCCACGATGCCCTGCTTTTGCCACTCTACTTTTTTGGCTTGCAGAGGCGCACACTCATGCTCTGTAGGGTTCGGGTTTAGGGTTTAGGGTGATTGCAAGACCAGCTGGCAGCCCTGCGACGTTCCCAAGCCGTGCCTGCAAATCTAGGACCATTCCATCAAAGCGCACAAGCTGGAAAACTGCGACTGGCTTGCTCATCTTTTTGTGTTCAATCTGCTGGCTTGACTCAAGACTTGCAGAAAGTTTTAAGCCATAGTAATAAACCCTACTACCAGCCCCCGCAGGCTTTTTGTCGTGAAGAGCCTTGCCTGGTGTGCTCGCCTCTTCTGGATGGCAGACCTGGTGGTGAATATGCTGACAGGCCCGTGAGCTGTGGGGTGAACTGAGGGTTCTCCACGTGCCCAAAAAACCCGCCGCCTTCTTTCTACGCAGGTTACTATGAGATGGGCGTCATGGTTCAAGACCTGAGGAAAACTTTTTGCCGATACATGCGGACCTGGCATCTTAGCGGCAACTTGCAACCTCGGTTTGTGATCAGGAGAGACATTGCTGGTCTCAGTTCTTAAGGTTGCTGAAGCACGGCGTCGTCGCAAATGCATGACTTTGTGCGGATGTCCTCTTTACACGTACTGGTAATTGTGTGAACAAGGAAATGTGTGCTTGCAGACAGGTCTATGACCATCATTTCTTGCGGGCTGCTGTGGCTACAGTCCAATTTCAGAGTTCTGTGAGCAAAGGCTGTTGATCGACCTCCTGTGTGTGGTTGAGGACTGGACCAGGCTGCTAGGCTCTGCTTGGTTTGGCAGGTGTGTCTTTCGGGGCCTGCGTAGACCTTCAGGAGGCCTTCGTGTGGAATAGCTGGGTTTCAGAAAGACAGTTAGACGTCGGCCTGTTCAGAAGGTGGGTGATGATGCTCCGGAAAACCGTGTGTTGTTCTAGGGTGTTCGAGGCTCTCGATCTTGCCCTAGGCGTCACATGGTGATGATTGACCGTGTGGTTTGGTGAGCAGGGGGACGTTGGCATGTCATCAGGAATGCTCGGTTATGCACGGTTCTTCGTATCATTATAACGGCCACAAAGATTACTCTCCTGGTTTTGTTCACTCAGTTCATGCACTTACAATTTTACATTCCTGCATGCATTCACTTCGTTCGTCTTCGCATTCTTATCTTGTATCCAGTGCGTTCACGCATTCTATTTGCCCGGGCGGTGGAAAGATATTAATCATATGCGGTGCGCCAATGAGACAAAAGCCTGCTAAAAAGCGCTTGTGCAAAAGACCTGTCTGACTGCATCTTTTAAAGTAGCCAAAGCCTCGAGTTGGGTTTCGGGACGCAAGGCCAAGAGTTCACGAGCAATTCCACTCCGCATACCATGCTGTTGAAATGCGGCACTTTCCTGGCTGCGTGGTTGTCTCGACATGTCGGGGTTAGGGATGAGGGCAAGTGGGGATTCGCTGATTCGCTGGCTGTCTTCCGGCCACGCTTGCATCGTTGCCATCAACCGTTTGGGCCGCGTCGTTCCGCATGGTTCCTTCTAGCGCATCCATGTTCGGCATGCGTTTGCCTAAATATCCATCCCAGATCTGATGTCCTGCACACCCCCCTTTCCCCCCTCACTGAAGGTGTGGTTGTGTGGGTGAAATCAATTCTATTTTCAACGAACTTGCCTGTCAGGCAACGGGTTGGGCTAAAGTCCTAGACAGGGATAGCAAACCCTAAACCCTAAACCCTAAGCCCGAAGCCCTAAACCCTGAACCCTGTACCCTAAACCCTAAACCCTAAACCCAATTCTTTGCAGGTTGACCTCGGCAGATTGTGAGTCCGACCCGGAGAAGGAGTTCATCAGCCTGCTGCGTGTTCTGCGCCTGCTCAAACTGATTCCCAGCTCAACCAGGACGGGCTATTAGGCCTTATTATCCCCATAATGAATCCTATAAAGGGCCTTTAAACCAGGCTGGGCCTTATAATCCTCATAATGAATCCTGTAAAGGGCCTTTAAACCAGGATGGGCTATCAGGCCTTATAATCCTCGTAATGAATCCTGTAAAGGGCCTTTGAAGGGAGTAAATAATCCCCACCATGAACCCTATCAAGGGCCTTAAAAGGGAGTATGTAATCCCCATAATGAACCCCACAAAGCGCCTCAAAAGGGAGTATCGGTTATAATAGCCCATGCTGGAAAGCTTTTGGCTGCAAGATGCTTTTCGCCGCGAAGCGCTGTGGAAGAATGATGTCCTGTAGGTCACTGCAGGGCCTTTCTTCCCGACTCCACACTCCAGACTACTCAATCGCCCATGTCTCATCGTGCAAAGCAACCCCATGCGCCAAGGAGGAAGATGGGGGCACAGATCCAGGAGCAATTCCAGACGCATTCTACAAGTGTTAAGTTCAATCTACTCGGAACTTTGACGGGCTTGGTCATTGTCAATCACATCATCGCGTGCTGCCACTTCCCTGCAATAGCCGCACTAGCCCATGTGTGAGGATTTGGCTTTGCTCGTTTCATCGCCGGGTTGAGGGAAACGCTCACATCCTGTGCTGGTTGACGGCGTGAGTGGATCCCAAATGTTCTGGGGAAGCTGCAAATTGCCATCATTCGCCGAGGCTGGTATGGCCTCAGCAAAGTGGGAGCTGCTTGTGCCAAACAACTATCACAGTTTGGGCGAGGTCGCAGATGCTCCAGCAAATTACCCAAAAGCCCTAAGCCCATCAAAGCCTAAGCACTACAGGCCAAGGCCAAGAACTGACCCTAAGCTTAGGGGCTGGATAGTTGACCTTTAGCCTTTTTGGTTACATACAATCCTACTCCAAAACGAAGGTTAACGTGTTTTGGGCTAGGGTATTCAGACCCTAAGTAAACTAAGCAGCTGGCACTGCAGGGGGGAGTTCAGACAGGGAAGTTCCTCCAAAGTAGCCAGCCACCGATCGACGTTGCCTTGTGCTGCTAGGGGTTTTCTGCTTCTTCTTCTGTTCAAGGCCGACAAACAACAGGGCAAGAAGCAGGCAACAGGACCGCGGAGCAAAATGCTGCAAAGTCGCTGCCCTTCTGAGGATTCTCAGGGCACCGACACATGGCTGAAGCTGAAGGGCTGGGATGACGCCGATCCCATGTTTCAGTATGTCGCTTCGTACTACTGGGCTTTCTCGCAACTTGGTGTCGGCTCTACCGAGACTTCTCTGAAATAGGCTTGTCAACTTGTGCCATGAAGACCTGCGAGTTTTGTTGCATGATTTCACGAAAACCGAGGCAGAGCTTTCGCATTTGTCCATGCCACTGCATAAGGAGATCCACTGCTCCAACATGCTGGAGTATGTCTTTGCCAGCTTCGTCGCCATGGCTTCCTTGCTGATTTTCTCAACCTTGGTCAGTACCATGACCTCGCTGATGACCACCTTGAACAAGATCCAAGAAGCAGCATCTCGGATGACTACAGCTGTCAGTACTACAGATCCCTCACTGCTCGCAGCCTGCGCAGCTCAGGAGATAGCGCAGTTTCGTGCATTGCGGCGGTTCCTGGCCTACAACCACATTCCCCAAGAGCTCAGCACACGCATCGTGCAGTTCGTGCAGCATTCCTATCCGCAGAAGAGCACCGAACCTCAGATTTGCTTGGCAAGGCCCTTCTGTTGGTGATAGCTTGAAAGGCTTGCCCTCCTACTTGGCTGGGTGGTCTGTATAGGTGCGCCAAGTGCCTCTGAAGGCGCAAGTCTGAAGCACAAGCACACGAACCCCTTTACTGCAGTTCCAGATTAGCATTGGTGTCGGTTAAGACTCTAGGGATTTCGGTTGCGGACAGGGTCGGCAGTTCGTCCTTCTCTACACTCCTTGTTTTTTGGAGTGGTTGAGAAAATTGGGGAAGTTTTGTCAGGCTTTCAGCCTTCCCCCCTTAAGTGAGGCACCGGTCCGCGCTTCCGCCATCCCTAGCCCGGCAAAGACCCCTAAACCCTAAACCCTGAACCCTAAACCCTAAACCCTGAACTTGATAACCTGAGGAGAAGAGCGTGCAAGATGGGGATCTTGCCGTCCTCGAGATGCTCTCAAGTCCTTTGCTTCTTGGCTCAGCCTGGTTTGCCACAATCTGTTTTTCTGGTTATGCTGGCAGCTGCAGTTCGTAGTTCTGATGTCAGAACCGCCGAAGACGTCGGCTCTCAGGAAGGCGGAACTGCGATTCGCCCGGTTCAGGAAGAACCTGGACTGCCTTCCTTTCCTACGGAAATTGATGATGAGCGCCTCTGCTATTCTGGCCCAGCACATCCCAGCACCTGCTGCCGACGCGAAGTGCCGTAAGACAAACCTGGATAGGCCTACATCTTTCCATGATCCTTCCGGCAGCCCCTAAAACCTGCGGCTTAGTCAGCCATACTGAATCTTTCAAGGAATATTATTTCTCTCTGGTCGACATAGGCGGGTGCAGCTGCATCCTTCCCGCAAAGGCGTGCTCTCACTAATGTTTTCTGGTGCTCCATCAACCGCAGGTGGCTATTACAACACTACTGATCACAAAGGAGAGGCTTCATGGCACACAGTCGGTTCCAAGTCTCTCGCTTGAGCTCGAAGCACTTTGGGCCCTTCATTTAGTCGCAAAAACTACTGTAACTTCTTTGGTTCTGTGTTCGCATCGTCGCATGTTCCGCATCTTCTCCCGCCTGCGCGTTTTACAGTCCAAATTGAGCGCCCGCGGCAGTCCCAAGATCTGGACAAGTGGAAGGGACGCGCTTCTTCGGCTGCGTGGGCTCTAACAAGGGTTGGCTTGGTGCATCCATGCTCACTTGCAATTTCTTGGGAGTTACGTCGTGCACCCGACACTGCTTCACTACCATAGTAACTACTTTGGGCTTGGTCCGAAAGCGTTAATGACTCATGGCTACGCGGAGGACGTGCGGAGTACCAGTGGGGTCTGTACCGGCATAAGGACTTCGGGACTTGTTGTGCCTTTACGCAACATTTCAGCCAGTCAGTCCGGAGCTGTTATCTTTAATCGGCTGAAAATGCAGTGTTGAAGTCGCCTCGCTCCCCATGGATTCAAAGAATTCTCTGATGTGCTTTGCTCTACCAGGTGATGACCTCCAGATTACCCGCCTTACACACAAGCTGGCAGGAGCAGAGCAGGGAGGCTTCATTCATTGAGTTTTGTTGTGACTTTCATGGTTTTCGCTTGTTGACACCGTTTGAGACTGCATTGCTTCAGAAGCTTCATGGTCATCAGGTCAGGTCACTGGTTTCAAGCCAGCTAGCTGCACGCATACATACTCACATTGTATGAAGAGAGGGACCACGAGCCACGGCACGAGGACACCTGGACCTCCTCTTAGTTGCACCGGGTGATGCCGTTTTCTTCTCCGACAGCAATGCGCAGGCCAGGTGCACGGAAGTACTGCATCAGAGTTCGTTGCAAGGCATGTTGACTTGCCGCTTCCCGCAGGCCTGTTACATGAACCTGAGTGGCACTTTGAAGTACTACCAGGCAGCAAGCTCAGAAGATGCTCCAGGTGGGGAAGCCTTGACCAACAGATTTTGCAGCGAAAACGCACAGATCCCTTTGTTGCAAAGTCGGACTGTTCAGCATGATGCTGCAGGGACTGTACGGGGAGTTGATTTGAAGTTGAGCCTCCTCCTCCACCAGCTACAAGAATCACTAGAAGATTTTAGGGGTTTAGGCTGTAGGGGTTTCGGGTTTTGGGGCTTAGGGTTCAGGGGGTTAGGGTTCTAGGATTTGCATGGGTTGCTTAGTCTTGGGGCCTTCGTGAGCGCCGCGCAGATGACATCTGGCTTGTCGAGATGTGCCTTTGGACACCCTGGGAGTTCATGGGCACCCCGGCCTTGCCAGAGCTTTAGGTTCCTTAATTATGTGAATTCACGGCTCCTTAAGAGGGAATATAGTTCCCTACTATAGTCCCTTGTTTGATTTTTTTAAATGGGGAATATAGCTCCCACCCTACTATAATCCCTATTCAGGACTGTTAGTTTAAGGGGGCAGCAATCCCGAGCTTTAAGACAAAGCCTGCGAGACAGCCGTTGAGTTGACAGGCTTGCATAGGACCCGGTGAGCGTTAAGGTTGGACCCCCCGAACATGCGAAGATAGCCGACGCTGATTCTGTCCCGTGGGACTTTTTTATGATTTTCAGAAGAAGTTCGATAAGAATGGAATACGAAGCGCAGCCTGATAGCTTACCCTCCGCCGAGAGGCCAGGCTTTTGAAATCTCAAGAAGGGGGCTGGGCCAGGAGAGACATCAGAGAGGTTGCCGGACTGATGGAGACAATATTTTTCTAAACCCTAAACCCTAAACCCTAAACCCTAAACCCTAAACCCTAAACCCTAAACCTTTTTATGGGCATTCCTGGTTTTGGCTCGGTTGGGATTCCGGGTTTTCGGGCCTTGGAAGCAAGGCATGCCTTTAAGATTCAAAGGCCTGGTTTGTAAAAGCCCAAGAGGCCAGCGCATGGGTTTGGAGTCTCCTTAGTAGGGATTATCGTACCCTCCTATTGTAATCCCTATTTAGGACTGCTAGTATCAGGAACCCCAAACACCAATCCTCAATATCGGATCCCAGGATTAACTTTGATTTTTTTGGGGAGACCCCCAAACTGTTTGGGGGTCTCCCCAAAAAAATCAAAGTTAATCCTGGGGTTACAGTTCCACTGTCCTGAATAGCCGGGGCAAAATTGACTGTATACGAACCAGGGTCCAACGTTGCTTTGGACAAGTCGACAGTGTTTTTGGCAAGCATGAAAAGGTTCTGATGTCGCAGACATTCGCAGACAGATACAGCAAGGCACCCTGGTGGCCGAAGAAGTTTCGCATCTTGCTGCTTTGCTGAAGTAGACCGCGGCGGTGCTGGTACTCTTTCTGGTGGTGAAGAGAGAGAGCCGCGAATCCGAAATGCACGAAGCGCTACGGTATGCGAAGGACGATAGGCTTCCGAATGCTAGGAGAAGTGCCTGGATACATGACACAGTGACTGCGATGTGAAGGTCTCACTGAATGAAGACCACTTTAAGCAGACGATCTGTGAGAGTGCAGTGGCCCAGAAGATGGCAAGCGCCTATGCCATGCGTTACGTGAGTCAGTTGATGCTTGGTTTCGTTTATGTAGCTGAAGTATTGGAGCAGGGAGGGGGTCTTTCCGCAACGGACAAAGAAGGGACAATGCACCAAAAGCCCCTAATCTATGCTATTGTAGGATTTTTCGAGTACGTGCATTTGTGTGTCACTCATTCACACACTTTTGATATCAAACAAGCGCCCAATGGAAAACCTGCATCTTGTGTTCGCTGCTGGATACGATTGCGACGGCCAAAGGTCCCATGACAACAAAGTACCTTGCCTCATCTGCCATTCATACACGGGCCGAATCGCGATCAGTATGTGCAGCAGTGCCAAGGACAGCGTGCAAAGTGACATCCGATCTTTGGCTGTGCAACGAGGCGGACAGCGCACAAGCACCAAGCGTGAGTGTTTCTGCGGCTCGGCCTGCCATGCGTTCCGCCATGTTCTGCTTGTTGTACACTGTTTGTTGTACGAAAAGGCGCAGGGGCTGTTGAGATTTCAGCTGCAAGTGCTTTGTTCTCCCTAAGATTAGGAGCCTTTGGGCTGTTCTTTCGGGGCCGTGATTGTAAATGCTTGCGCGCGCCGCCTCGGCAGCCGGGCTGTGTGGAGATGACGCCTGGAGGCGCCCTCTAGGGGGGTCCCGTCCCACAGGGGCGTCCCGTGGTTGGTTTGGGGGGAAGGAGGGGGAGAAGGTTTTATGAAGGTTCGAGACGGGGGTCCAATGTGCAAGGGGTCCGGAAAAGGGCAGCGGGGGGGGAGGAGAGGGGGGGAGGAGGGGGACAGGCAGGACTCTCCACGGCATCGGTCCGGGTCCCACAGGGCGGGGGGGGGGGGGGGGTGTGGCGTCACAAAATTCTGTATGGGGAAGGGTTGGGTTAGGAGACCGGATCCGGGTCTGTTCCAGACGCTTCTCGGCAGGAAGCCGTGGCGAATAAGCCTAAGGCCACCCCTGTGGTGCCTCAGTCGCACTTGCTCTCCGTGGTCCGCCGGTTGAGCCGCCGATCGCACGAGTCAGGAGTGGGATGGCTTCGTGGGCAGAATGCGGTTGGTTGCCACATGGGTATTTCCCAAAGTAGGGGGCACCCCTTTTATGCCCCAAATAGATTACAATCCCCTTAAAGGGGCCCCCAAAAAGGGTACCCTTATTTTCAGAAACCCCCATATGTAGCAGGTTTATGGGGGAACGGGAACTGTCAAGTTTGTCATCTCAGCAGGACCGGGCGCTCGACGGGTGTCACCTGTCGTTCCAAGTCCAGATTCATCGGCAACCTGATAGGTGCTGCTGCCAGAGATTAATCTATATCCCCCTTGGGAATTGTTTCCTATGTTGTTCATACAAGACCCAAGAGGACATTAAGCATGATCTTTTTATTAAGGTTCTAAGGGGCGTATAGTAATCACTCCCTTGACCTGATTGGGTTCTGGTAGTGGGCATGCCGGCCCTCGCAAGTCGCAAGAGGACATAGTCAGATCATGGGCGTTTAAAAGGCAGAGAACAAGCTCTTGAAGAGACCTCTGCGGTCTGCTCGGGATGCCACAGACTTTCAAGGCTTCCCCAAGGCTCGTGAAACTGTTTTGGCCTCTCCTCCTCTTATTCGGCTCCGTTCAGGCTGATACCGTCAGATGCAGGGACGCTTTGGCTTGTGAAATCTGTGCTGTGGATTGCCAGGTGGAGCTGCAGGAGATGGCCCCACCTTTTCGCTCGGTGACGCCGGCCCCCGCCCGTTTCTCTGGAGAGTTGGGGGGGGCTGAGAAGGGCGCATTACACATTAGTTTGCATCAGCTCTTTTTTGCCTAAGGCGATCTGCCGAAGGCAGTTTGCCGAAGGTGTCTGCCGAGCCTTAAGCACAGTGTGCTTACGGTTCGAGACGTTGCACACTGGTGAGGCTTGCAGCGCCGTATTTTGAGAAGGCATGCCTCTGGTCGAGCAGTGCTGGCTTCATTAGGAATTAGTCTATAGTTCTTCTTCCTGAAAAGGCCCCATGAAGCTGAGCAGTTACAAGGGTCACACATGTAAATGGAAAAGCCATGCAGCTTTAGTTCATTCCTTGGTGGCGCTTTGCTAGTTCAATCCTGCCTTCGGCTCATGAACATTTTGAACAAGCTGTCCTTGGTAGCTTGCTGAGTTCGAATTTTTGCATGATCTCCGTGGGATGATACCGACCATATTTTGCGCAGCCATGGAGCCCGCATGGAGCATTCATTGACTACAGTTTTATGTTGAGCTGGGGCTTGGGGATTTACTGCTTCTCGGTTGGAGTTTCAGAGGGTGCTTGCCGAGCGGCTTGGCCCCTATAGACTTTCCGTCAAGCCCGCACAGTAGGCCTAAGGTCCCTTTGAAGAGAACCCCACAAACCCTCAGGAACTTGCTAGGGACCTAGGCCCGACATGCCTTGGACCCAGAGACATGAGGAGAGGTCTGTTGAAGGACGTACAGGGTTGGACCTCCAGGCGTTTACGACCCATAGGGATCCCAGGGAGTCTGACCGGGGTTTAATGCAGTTAAGGCAGTTTCGGGGGGGTTTAGGGGGGTTTAGGGGGGTCTAGGGTGGGAAGGGGACTTGACCTTCAGGCTCCAGCGAACATGGCATGTATCACCTCACAAGGAGCGTGTCGCCTGACACGCCAAGTCTGTCTGACCAACCAACCTCTTTCCCATGTGGCCGTGAGCTCACATGCTCACCTAAATGGTAGATCTCTCTCCTGCATGGCAGCCTCAGAAAGTTGACACCCTTCCTTTAAAGAACGAAGGTCAGAAAAAAACGCAAGAAACGACGGGGGGGGAGGGTGACAACTAGAATTTCGCTCTACCATGACACTGGAAATGCAAACAAGCGAATTGCCAAAACACTGAAAATGCGAATAGCGAGGTTAGGGTTTTCGAGGGCTTTAGGGCTAGAGGAGTTAGGATTCAGGATTTTGGGGGTTCGCAGTCTTGGGTGGGGTTTAGGGCTTCTAGGCGTGGAGATCCGGGGACGCTTTGCAGTAGGGGGATGCTCATCCACCAGAACGGAAGAACGCCCAAGAAGGCTTTGCTACTGACGACAATGCTGCTCAAAAGGATAGGCACCCCACGTAATCTCCATCCCGAGCCTTCGCCCCATACTGCTCGTGCATCTGTCGGTATCTGTCGGGTCCTTGCGCTACTGGACGGTTGGTCAGACTCAGAAGCTTGCCGGGGGGGGGGGGGGTTTGCGAACATAGGGGACCCCCCCAAAATCAGATCCCCAAATAGCAGGATCCCCTTATAAGGCCCCCCATACCCCTAAACGCGTAAGCCTGCAGGTATGTCCCGATAGTCCCTGCATCTTCAAGAGGAGCGCAGGACGACGGGGACTTTACCTCATGGCACATCGGGGCACCATCATCCTAACAGCTCCGTTTAGGGTTTAAGGTTTAGGGTTTAGGGTTTAGGGTTTAGGGGCATGATTGGAGCTGGGTTTAGGGCGATGAGGGTGGTACGGTTGAAGGGCACCAAGAAAATCGACTCCACAGCTAAGGATTTTCCAGCAATCATCTCCAAATTGTACAGCGCCTCATCTGGGCACATCGCAAAAATTGTGTTTTGCTCCAGAGAAGCAACATGCCCGGGGGCTGGACTAGGTCTCTGAGAATGCGTGCTGGCCTGCTGCCGTATCGGTGCAGGGTGCCAGCGTTCGCGTGGCAAAAGGACTGAGGCAATTCGCATGCGTTTCAGGGGTGAAGCTTGGTGCAGAGACGTGACTAGCGATGTGAAGTTGCAGCATTTTGCATACAGCATCATGCAGTCTCTAAAGCTAATTTGGCCAACTTATTTCGGTTTTTTGGTTTATTATGAGGCTATTTCGGATTTGCTTTTCTTATGCTATTTCGGGCTTATTTTGACTCTATTGTGTCTGGGGCTTACTTTTCTTATGTTACTTCGGGCTTATTTTGACTCTAGTGTTTCTGCTTGTTTTGGGACAACCGTCAGGTCACCGCAAGCCACATTTATAGGCATGGCATCCTGCCCCCCTTGCATACCGCCCCCCCGGGATCCCGTGACAGCATTCGGCTGGCCAGCCAAACCCAGCAGCGTTTTTGCAATTTGCTAAGAACTAGTCCGAGCACCTGTTTCATTGCGTGGGCGGCCCCCCCCCCCCCCTCCGCCAGAATCAGAAAGGCAGGGCGCCGCAATAATAAGACCATGGCAATGTAATGATTCTCTATTAAAAACAATAGGCTGCAACGGAAACGCTCCCTCCCGCCATCTCTTCCCCCTCCCCTTGCGTCATTGGGGAGAAAAACGCCACCCGAACCTCCATACATGGGCCCGGTTCCCCCCCAAGCCGGGCGGCTTGGGTTGGATTTGGGCACTTAGGCAAGACAGCCCACTTCAGAGGAACAGAGACTCTTCCCCCATATATATATATATATATATATATCCATTGGAAACTGGAAAGCTCCGAATCCCAACTGCAGAGGAAGGAACGTTCTGCGAAGTGTCGCGCAGATTCAAGGGCCGTGGGCTACCAGAAACGCTGCCGGCCTATCAGTGATCATAGTGATGCATACCTCATGAATCTTCAGTTCCGAACCCCAAATGTGTACTCAACGTTGTACGTATAGGTATAGGAACCCCTCAACTGTTCCGTCAGGCTCCACGGCCCTAAGCCTAAACCCGAAACCCTAAGCCCTAAACCCTTGCCTGCCTCGTGTGAGTGTGAGCGTCGAAACCCTACACACCTAACCCGAAACCAGGGCACTCGCAAACTTCGGCAGGGCCGGCGGCTGGGTTCATGGCACACCTACTCCTCTGAGTGAAGCAACAGCTTGCCTCTGAGACGGCGTTTAGGGTTTAGGGTTTAGGGAAAAAGCTTAGTAGAGTTTAGGCGCAGTGCCCATCGAATCAGATGACGTAGAAGATATTTTCGTTTGGCTTCAGCGCTCGGTTTACACGCATCGTTGAAGTCGGGAGCGCACGAGGGTGAGCCGCACATCCAAGCCTGTCCGTGCCATGCAGCCACAAGCTTAATTGGAGTGACCTGAGGTCAAGCTTTGTAGACATACTGCTTTGAAGCTGTTTTAGGCCATCAACGTTGGGATGCTTCTGCCTGAAATCTCGCCGCGGTCCGAGATCCCAATCTCACATTTTGAATCGAGATCGCCATGAATCGACTCAGAGCCGCGAGCGCCTGTAGTCGGAGGGGCAGCAAGTGCCACTTTCGGCTTGATCTCTGGGGTTTGAGGCTTAGGCCGTTTGGGTTTCAGGTGTTACATGGGCTTCAATCAATACACTGGGGTGCTGTCGCAACTGCTTACGCTGAGATGGAAGCCCTTGGCATTGCCTGTGTAGACTTCGGTGGGGTGCCGTAGTTGCAGGCAAATCGGGTCAAATCAAGGAGTTACTGCTTCGACATTGCTTGCGACACTGGACTTCCAGACCAGAGTTTTTAGGGTTTGGGGTTTAGTTTAGGGTTTAGGGTTTAGGGGTTTGTTAGATCCAAGCAGGACGTGGCATTCTGCCCCAAACACACACTAGGTTAGGTGGCGTGCATCCGCCGGGCTGACGCTGAGAGTTCCACGGGCACTCCTTTGGGAGTGGCCACAACAGCAACAGCAAGAAAAGAAAAGACAAGAAAAGACTCTCTCTTTCTCTCTCTCTCTATATATATATTTATATATAGTCTGATGACTTCTCGACCGGCATTTTGGGGGCATGTTGTGCATGTTTGCGTTGAAAACCACTAGTTGTGGACCGTACCGGAGTATCATGGACTATCTAGGTTTGCTTGAGCCAAGCAGCCTATTCATTGTAGCACCATGGAGCAGCAGGCTAATTACTCAGCCTAGTTCGGCCATGTGGCAGCCTGGAACGTTTAAGCTTTGAACCGCCATGTCCGCCGCAGATGTCAGATGTGGGCTCAAAACCCGTGTGCCAAGCCCCTGAACTTTGTCAAGGGGCTCATCAGGCCACAGCCAACGCCTCAGGGAACCTTACGACAGGTTGTCAGTTGTATCATTTTGAATCTACCACACCTTCGCTACTGGACCGCTTCATTGTCCAGGGGTTCGGTTGATGTGCAAGGATCTCTCCCATGTTCAAAAGCACGTCGCCTCCTCTGTCTTGGCAAGATCTGTCTTGGCAAGATGCTGAAAAAAGTCTGCTTGGGGCGGAAGTATGCCTCATTTCGTCCACGCTGTTTCGGGGCCCCTCCCATACCCTGCCGCTGTGCATGCACGCCATGTCGACTCACTAGCCAGAGAGCCCAATACCCCTTAATAAAGGAATATACCTTATACTATGAAAAGATCCACATTGTGATTTAAGGAGTACACCTTAATTTGGGGGTATTGGGCATTTGGGGTACTTGTTCAGAACCAACACTCAGGCGTGAGACATCAAGAACCGGGCAGGGGGCGAAAGCGGGGCCATCCCAGAGCGCAGCAAGCCGCAAGAGCCTTCTTCCTCACGGGTGTGAGGCAGCCCCTCGAAGTTGTTGACCCAATGTGTTTCAGGCATGGGCAGTTCTGAGGAGTTCTGAGCAGGCGCAACAGGACGGTCGCCGCAGGTGCGCAACTGGAGCGGTTCCAGAAGCTCCTTCAAGCCAAGAAAAGCCAAGCGACCGGCGCCTGCTGGCGAGACAGGGGTACGGAAATGAGCCGGCAAGTGAAACCTGTGGGCCCATGGCTCTGAAGTGACCACCGAGCACGCAGAAGAAAGCTGCGAAGGGCCCATGCCGATGGCGCGGCATGAGCTTTGTTCCTCCGAATCACCCTCGTGCCGCAAAAACCTCATTCCGCAGCACGCGCTCAACAAGCAAATCCAGAAAGCACTCCATGTGACAGTCCTCCCATTGCCTGCTCCATGTCTGATTAAACAACATTTCAGAGCTACTTGTAGCCAACACGGAAGCTGTGGTCAGATTTTTCTAGATCACGTCCCCTGTAAAAGATTCTAGGGGCTCGGGGGTGCCCCCACCACAAAGGAATCAAGAGCAAGAAGCCTGTCCAGGTGAGGCATGAACCCTGGCGTTATGGTGATGCCTTCGATGACCGGGGCCCCTTGGCACTGCTCTTGGGTACTTGGTTCAGTAAATTCAGCAGAACTCGCGGTCCATTTTGGGGCGCCCTGTGCCATCTACTGTCATGCGAACCTCGAAAGCACCATAAGGAGAAACCCCCCCTTCCGCCTACAGGCTCAGTGAATCATGTGGCCATGATTTGTTTGTCCCGGTACCAAGATGTCAATTGGATCATATCAGAGTATGAGCGGTTCACCCTAACAAAAATCAGTTTGGCGAGTCCAGCTCAAGCTAGCGGAGTGCAGCTTGCCAAAGCTTCTCCACTCTGAAACCGCAATCCCCGGGCCTTAGCGATTGAAGGGTTATGTCGACCAAGCCTAGAAGTGTCCATGCACGTCCCAAGCTGCCCAAAGAAGAGAGGGCCCTCCAAGTTCCCCGAAACACCCCTGAACTACTCTCAAGCCTAAAACGCAGCATGTCTTCGCAGTCTCTGCAGGCTGCGGGAAGACCAAAGGGAAAGGACGATGACAAAGTTGCGTGGTTGAGAGAAAGACATGGGTGCTCTTCCCACTGGATAGAGACCGAGGTGGCAGGCGCTGCTTTTGTGTTTCAAGGTTAGCAGCCCATGTTCAGAAGCAGGCCTGTGGGTGCACACGTGCGCATTGGTTTAGTCATCCAAGGTCACCACCGTCTTCGTTGGCGGTCTTCGGAAAAGCACCAGCGAAGATAAGGCTGGCCTTGATGTCTGAGTGGTGAGGGTGGTTCTACATTCAGGGTCCCAGTTAGTGATCGGTTTTGTCAGAGACCTCAAGTGAAGCACAAATGTAACCCCCAAGCCCTGAACCCTAGTGCATTGGTGATTTCGGGCAACTCCTCGATACATCCGAGGCGCATCAGAAAAAGGGGATGTCTCTACCCTGGCTTGGGTGAGTTCAGCTTGAGGAACAACGGCGACCAGCCCCAAACAGCCCCTTGCTTGCCAGGTGGCAGCCCACTTTGCAAAGTACGGCCAGGCCGAACTCAAATTCACGTCATGACAGCATGTGGGTATTTCCCAAAACAAGGGTGCCCTTAGTATGCTCCAAAATGCCATAGTCCCTTTACTCGAACCCCAATACGGGTACCCTATGTTCGGAAAAGTAAAAATGACAGCGCACCGAAGTACGTCCGCAGTTGAGCTCCCCAATTCACCCGCGCAGGTGGACAGTGTTGATATCAAGCGTCTGCCCGATGGCACATCACGTGGGTTCGCATTCGTGAAGTTCACTGACAGGGACCCGTGCGGTACTTGCCACGCATTGCAACCGTTGGTGTCTCATGGCATGCGGTGCAAGTTTGCCATGCTTACACGATATGATTCCTGTTGACGATGGTATAGAAAGTATTCTCAGATCTCTTGTGAGGACTCGGTTGAAAAAGCGGTTGAAGCAAAAGCCAATCACATGATTGACAACAAGTGACGTGGCGTGTAAAGAGGGGTGGAGATGGTAGAGGCAAGCGATCCTTTGGATTGTGTCAAACTGCACCCTCCCACCCATTGCCAGCCAGAACTCCCAGCCATGAACCTCTCAACACTGACCCGTGGATGGAGCCACTGTCCTTCTCCAGCCTTTGACTGCAGCCGCAGCCTTCCCTGCTGCGACATTCGTGTCGAGAGATATTGCAAGCCTCCAACAAAACAATCACTGGGGGTGATTAAGACAGCTGCTTGAGCCCAGAAACTTTGCACGCGAAGCTCCCAAGGTGGGTGGCAGTGCGTCCGCACGGTGGCTCCGCCTTCCAAGCGGCACAGCATGCCGAAAGAGAGAAGATGAATTTTGCAAGAGAGAAGGCCCTGTCCTGGTTTGCAGACGTCCCAATCGCCAGCTTATGCTGTGGTCAGCGCAATGTCACGTGCATCATGTTCTTGAAGCTGCTCGTATGAGCACCACCAGCGAGCACCAGCGGCTTGAATTTTGGGCCGGTCTGCTGCAGGAGAAGAAGGAGTCAGAAGCACCTTCGACGCAGGACTGAAAGCTTGGCACAGTTCAGCCTCTGTGGCTGCTATGGTGGGTTATTTAGGGGGTCTACGATAATCAGGGACCCTGAATATAAAACCCCAAATAAATAGTAGGATCCCCTTAAGGAAGCTACCCCTAATTTCGGAAACCCATGTGTCATTGCTAGTTCTTTGCTAGACTGCAGTTAGCCACATGTGATGAGCTACTCGACTCGACAGTACTGGGAGGATGACTACGAAGAGAAGTGGTCCGAGAAGTATCTGCAACAGGCAGCTTCGCTCCAAACTGGAGAGGACGACGGTGAGGATGGCAAGGACAAAGACTCTGGTCAGATGAACCCCATGATGGCCATGATGATGAACCCAATGATGGCTATGATGATGAACCCAATGATGCAGATGAACCCCATGATGATGGGGGCTCGGCCCATGATGATGCCGGGTTGTGGTGGCTGTGGTTGCCCTGGTTGCTGCGGCGGATGCCCGGGGATGCCAAGCCCAGCGGGACCTTCAGGCATGACGGCCCCAGCCGTGGAGGATGCCAGCGGGCCCGCAGCACCCAGTGCACCAGGAGCACCCGGGGCACCAAGCACCGGGGCCCCAGCATCACCAGGGGCACCGCTGCCAGGCGCGGCAGTGAAGCTTTCGGTCGTAGCAATGTAGGCGGCCAGTTTGCCGACTTTGCCTGCAGCCATCGTCGTCATGTTTCGATATGTTGACCACCAAGACTGGCTTACCCCACCCCCCCCCCCCCCAACCCCCGCGAAAATAGGCCGTGTAGAACATCTCACTCTCTGCCCCATTCTAGTTCTCCGGGGCTCCTTTCTATGAGAGGGGTGGACTCACTCTCCAGCGATATTTCATCTCCTATGAAGCTGCTTGTATCAGGGCCCTCTAGCACAATGGGCATTTCCCAAAATATGATATGCCCCAAGATACTAGAATCTTATAATAGGAACCCCCACAAAGGGTACCCCCATTTTCGGAAACCCCCAAGCAAGGAAGACATCCCCGTGTTTTTTTTTTTGGTTTGTGTGTGTGTTTGTTTTCTGCAGCTACAGCTCCAGATTCTTGACGGCTCTGTGTGTTCTCAGCAGCTACAGATCCAGCTGCATGTAATGCCTGTGGCGGGCCTCCCAGCTGACTTGCGCTCGTGAAAGTGGTCCAACACCCCCATACTCCCCATCGTAGGAAATGTGCTCAGCTGGAAACAAGGGACCCTCCACTACCCCACCCCTGTTACTGTCAGAAGGGGTTATCTCTAGCTCACTAATTTCAGGTGGCTGCTGCGGCTGCATGCCTACCTGCTGCGGTGGCTGCATGCCAGGCCATGCGATAACTATATCCGACATGCCAGTCAGTGGTTACAGTGGCACGCAGCAGGGGACGGTGAAGAACTCGGCTTTAGCTTTGGATGCATCATCCCAAGACAAGGGCTGATACTGAGCATAGAAACCTGAAGCCATGTTTCGAGGCTGCTGCGGTGGTTGCTGCCCCTGTGGTGGCTGCATGCCCTGCATGCCCGGCTGCGTGCCCGGCTGCATGCCAGGCTGCATGCCCACAATGCCGAACATGGCAGGTCATCCTGCCACGTTGAAGAGCATCAAGGGGGCCAATTTTTCCGACACGTCCAGTCACAAATCCTGGGATATGCTGGGCTACTTTTGGAGACATTCCCTCTTCAGACTCAAAAGTCCACGACGTCACCCGCTCTACATACATCCAAATCGAAAAAGAGCAACCGACGGTTTCTTGGAACCAACGAGGCGCGGCTGCGCCGCTGGCTTCGGCGGCGGAAAACGGAGGTCTTCCTTGGGAACCAAATGAACCCTACAATTGGGACCATATACCCTATACTACTACAATCCCTATTGAGGTATGTGAACCATAAACCCTTTTAGGGTTCATTTGGTTCTCAAGGTTTGGGGCATCGTACGGAGGAACTTGCCGGAAGGGAATCATTCGAACGAGTCGTCGGGTGAAGGTCTTGGGGGAGCCGTACCCCCCACCTAGCAAGCATGTCCCATGCAGGCGCGGCAGCACCTCCGGAGAGTGACCCTACCACAGGCAAGGCATAGCTCTGATCACCGCATGACCCCATTGCAGGAAGCACCTGTATTTTAGAAGATGCATTGCCCCCGCCAAGAAACTGTACTTAGGTATATAAGGACTGTATAAATAGACTATATACTATATAGGGTATGCCTAGGGGTTATATAGGGCAACAAGCCTCCGGGTCCCTTCTAGGGTCGTGCTTTCCAGCATCCTTGCCCGCCCGCGCTTGTCTGAACGATGGCAGGTGGAAGCGGGCCGGCTAAAGATGGAGGAGGTGAGAACCGGTTCCAGCCGTATTGACGGCCAATGGTCGCATTCCCAGCCTTCCTATCCAACTCACCTCAAGCTTACGGTTCCAAGTTGCACATGTAGCCACATGGCATGTGGGGGTTTACGAAAATCAGGGACCCCTAATATAGACCCCCAAATACTAGGATCCCCTTACAACAAGGACCCCAATGAGGCACCCCTATTTTCGGAAGCCCTCGTCATCACGACTGGCATGCTGGCATACGGTCCAAGCATGTCAAAGCTGAGCCGAGGTCCATGTCACGCCATTTCAGCGATCCTGATCCTGACGGTTTGCAGTCGCCGGGCGTGACAGGTCGTCGCAACGTCCACTTGAGCGACTCTCGTTTAACCGCAAAGACCAGGCATAGAGTTTGAGACCACAATGTTCATGGCGACTGCAGCACCGGAGAGAATCATGGCACGATGTACACAGGAAGGAAGCTGGGCCGCATGTCGGCCCTGCGCAGCCACGGGATCCTGAAATCCAGATCGAGGGAGGATTTCTTTAAGCCACACAGTCAAAAAGCTCTGAAAGACCTGGCTGTAGAAGAGGTGCCGCGAGGAATGTTCGAACCTTCACGAAGCTAACATAGCTGCCTCATGTTGTGGCGCTTGCTGTGTAGGTCCTAGGACACCCTGGAACGGCCACCCCGGACAGAACAGGAGTTTTTGCGCCATGTTCTTTTATTGTGAGTTTTTTTCCGGGCTTGTAACAGGCGCCGGGGGGTCCCTCCGCGACAAAGGTTTGTAACAGACGGGCCCCGTCCGCGACAACCCTCCCCCGCGACAAGGCTACAATACCATTGAATTTTCTCATTGCCAAACTCGATGCGACCTTGATGCGTGTCTGCAGCAACTTTCACTCTCAGTCCGCGACAAGGCCTGCGACAGGGCGCGACATACCCGCGACAACCCGCGCGACTGCTCGAGCCAGCAGGTGCCCATCCGTAGGACAACCTTGAACGAGAAGCCCAGGGTTTATATTTATATACAGGGTTCAGGGTTTAATGGCTCTCCGGTAAAATCCCTGCGTTCCCTAAACCCTTCATCCGAAACCCCAACCCTAAACCTAACCCCTTTACCCTGAACCCTTACAAAACCCAAATAAGAAAATTGGGTTCAAAGTAGCGGCGCGACAAACGTATGAAACAACCTGCCCGCGACAAGGCTTGTAACAGAGGGGGCGGGGGACCCCCCCACGACAACCCGAATTTTGACACACTCCCTTATTGCTCTTGCTGCATGTCAGGATCCCGGCCGCTTTGCAAAAGCCAGCTGTCAATACGACGGGTCAGTTGCAGCAGGATGTTGGAGGCTACTGGTACCAATTTGAAACGGTAAGATTTCCCAGATAGGACATGATGATGTGCCCACTGTCAATCTCAGATCCCTTGAAGCTTGACGCGGTCCATGGATCCTTTGCACTCGTAACGGAAACAAAGGAAGAAGAGGTGTCAGATGCGGTCAGCCCCACTGTGCGACACTGTGTCTTGCAACCTTGGTTAGCCCCCCACGGAGCGGTTGTGGATGGTTTCAGGTTGATCTGTGGTGGGGCTGCGCATATTGTAAGTAAGTGGTCTTTGAGACGAAGATCTTGCAGTACGCCACCGTGAGAACTCATTTATGGAGGTGTTTCGGCCGGGTCGCATGATGCTGCGATGCATATCGGAGTTGTCGGCGACATGCCGTCAATGCCCGACGGGCGGCAAACAAAAACAGCTGTCACTGATTGGAGTCAGCGAAGTTGCTCTGAGCCAGAGTCCTCATCTTCCGCGCAGCTGGTGAGGTTAAGGGTTTAGGGTTTAGGGTTTAGGGGTGACGGTTAGCAGTCTGTCAGCCATTGGACGTGCATGGCTTTGCCGACGGCATGCTGGCTCGAGAGGTCTTGGTGGCGACTGCAACTGCGGAGCCATAAAGGTCTCAAGTGTGTAGGGGGGGGCCATTTAAGCATGGTTGCAGAAGATTCCATATGACAAAGACTAAGGGCAGCAAGCTAGAGCATTGCAGCATCAGTTCGAGGCAGATCATTCACGACCCACTTGCTATGCTCCAAGAAGGACATACGTTTGGTTCTTGCTAAGGGGCATTCAAGGTGGCTTTGACCCGCTCCTTGAAGCGGACTGAGCCCGATCTGCTCCGCAAAAGTCGGAGTTCAACCGGCGGTGCCTTACTTAGTTGCATGCAGGGCTTTCCCAGCTCTGGAGTCCCAAGCCCTAACCTCTAAACCTTAAACCCTAAACTCTAAACCCTGAACCTTAACCTAAACCCTACACTTTCCCTAAACCCTTGCTGAGGCACACAGACGAACAGAGCATCGTGTGCCAAATGGCTGGCCGTGCGGTCAGGCCATGGTGCATCCCCGAGAGCCCGAAGAGCCCCTATTAGACCCACTAGGCCCTTGAACTAAGGAACATTCCTTCAGTCATGAATATGGATCCCTTTAAAAGGTATAGTCCTGTACTCTGGGTACTGTACTGGTAGAACGTTTAAGAATCCGGTATAAGACGTACCTGTGTTTAAAAAGGGCACGCAGGCTGCCAGGGATATCTTTTTGTGTTAGAGCCTCGAACGATGAGCGCCAAGTGCTTCAGAGGGTTGCCAAGCCGTGTCATCACATGTCTGGTCTCTGTGTGTGTGTGTGTTCCCTCCTTTTACCGAGTGGCCTTCACTCATAAAGCCTCGGCCCAACTCAGATGAGACCTTTTGCGCAAGAGTTGTGCGCAGAGCAGCAACATAGTTCGGGTGGCAGGCAAGGGTTCCTGTCCCATGGCCTCTTCACATCGTGGATGGAGGAGCCGGGGCCTCAGTGGCTGACTTTAAGGCAACAGGGTCAGGCCATGCCTGGTTTTGTCGCACTGTTTTCCTTCATCGGGCTGTCATTGGTCTTTGCATGTCTTTGCAGAACTGCATCCAATAAGCGAGGCGCATCATCAAAGCAAGAACAGGTTTTCACAGGACGCCTGAGCCTTGCTAAGGCTGAGTGCTGTCGTCTCAGGAAACCAGACACAGGCACCGTGGGAAGATGTGTAGCAGCTGCCCTCCATTAGCATTCAGCCGCGCACCTCCCCCAAAGCAGCTGTTTTCTGTTCTGATTAGAATTATTACTTGGCTACTAAATTGTTATTAAGTGTTTGTTCTTTTTATTGCTATCAAAACCCTAAACCCTAAACCCCAAGCCACACCCCAACCCATGGCTAGACGGGTGGCAAAAACCCTAACCCTAAACCCTACTTAACGATGTGCCTTGCCCTGCGTGTCCGAGCGTGAGCGATGATACCCTAAACCCTAAACCGTACTTAAACCCTAAACCCTAAACCCTAAATCCTTCTTAACGATCAGGAGCCATAGAAGTTCGCATCCCCCGAGCCAGGCGCCGAAGAGACCCTCGAGGCGCACCAAGAGGAGCACCGAAGAAGCACGGGCGCGAGTCCCAGAGAGCTTCCGTTTTGCCGGGTGTTTAGGGTCAGGGCTTAGGGTTTAGGGTCTGGGGTCTAGGGCCTAGGGTCTAGGGTCTCGGGCCTGGGGTCTAGGGTCTAGGGTTGCGGTTTAGCGTTTAGGGTTTAGGGTTTAGGGTTTAGGGTTTGCGGCCTTGGGAATGAGGATTATCAGACTTGGGCATGCTCAGGACCGAGAGGAATTGGCCTTTGGGGATTGGGGCTTAGGCCAGGGCCTTGAGGATTTCGAAGTCTAGGAGTCAAGACAAGCCCAGACGAAATTCAGTCGACATTGCAATTAGAGCAGCTAGAGGGGCACTAAACGCATCCGCCGAACTGCACAATGACACCCCACCAGGAAACATGCCCTGCAAGCAGCCTAGCGAAAGGTCATCATTGAAGAGTTTTGCCAGGACCCTGCATCGTCGGCCTTGTAGGGGTGAGGAACGCTGACGAGCTGGCATGCATGAACCTTTGCTTTCAGAAACATCCCTGGAGTCGTCTGCCAAAGTCCCCTCCAGAGAAAAACTTTTAGAGCTTTCTGGTCCTAACTGCAACCTAAAGCCGCCCTAAACTGTTGCTGCACTTCCGGCAGAGGCAGAGGCTTTCTGAAGGCCTCTGGCAGAAGACAGCGGGAGGAGATGTTACTTATATTGACCAGGACTGTCATGCCGCACGCGTCGAGCCTACGCAAGCTGAGCTGGCAACTCTTTGGGAAAGGCCGGGCTGTCCTGCAATGGACATAGGGATACCTTAGGATGAAGTTTTTTCGTGATTCTATGGCAGCCTCGGCTGTGACATCTCTAGCAAATGTGCTTCTTCTTCACGCTATAGTAGTCAGAGCATGGAACAGAACTCCCCTTGCAGGTGCAGCACGTTCAAATCGAGGCACATCTCAGTTTTGGCCTCGGCTGGCACTAAGCTCGTGGTCCACAAGGTGTTGTGATTGAAGCCTCGGCCGCGCAACGGCGTGTCTAGGGCTTCCTGACCGCGTCAGCAGCATTCAGAGGCTGGTGAGATGCGCC